TCCCACTGCACTAAAGGCGCACCCGCATCTGCTGCCTGCAGGGCTCAGGGTCACGGGCTCCCACTGCACTAAAGGCGCACCTGCATCTGCTGTCTGCAGGGCTCAGGGTCACGGGCTCCCACTGCACTAAAGGCGCACCCGCACCTGCTGCCTGCACGGCCCCCATTACATGCCTCAAGAGCATCCACTCCTATACTGAAAACCAGCAAGCTGCACGCCCTGTCATCCTGACAGCGATAGGGCCCCTTGGAGAGGACAGCCCACACTGCAGCCGGCCTCTGACGGAGACCCTCCCTCACCTTCACAGGGGACAGAGATCGTTTCTCTCAGTTGCCACCACTCCGAAGTCAGAACTCAGCCCTTCTACGGAGCTGCATCAGGCTTCATGAAAATAATCTTTTCCTGACTTTTAAATTAAAACACAAAACAAAACAAAACCCCCATTGAGAAATTCCTGTAATGACTGGGCTTTAAAAACTGTCCCTAACACAGGCAAATTGTGGACACGGTGGGTTCTAGGTCATCGTGATAGGGAGTCGCACGACATTTCTGGCTGCCCAGTGCATATAAACGTTACGTTTAGCACGATTACTGCAGTCTATCAAGTGTGCAATAGTGCTATGTCTAAAAAATGTATATGTCTTAATCTAAAAGTAATCACTAAAAATGCTATTGATCATCTGGGCCTTCAGCGAATTGTAGTCTTTTTGCTGGTAAACGGTTTTGGCCATGCTGATGGCTGCTGACTGATCAGGGTGGCAGCTGCTGAAGGCCAGGGTGGCTGTGGCAATTTCTTAAAATAAGACCCCAGTAAACTTGGCCGTATGGATTGATGCTGCCTATAATGAAAAATTTCTGCGTAGCATGTGATGCTTTTTGATAGCATGTTACCCACAGTAGAACTTCTTTCAAAATTAGAGTCACTCCTCTCAAACCCTTCTGCTGCTTCCCGACTACGTTTACGTAACATTCGAATCCTTCGCTGCCATCTCAACGCTCCCAGCGTCTTCGCTAGGAGCAGATTCTGTGTGAAGGAACCACTTTCTTTGCTCATCCATAAGCAGCGATTCCTCACGTGTTCATGTTCTGACCCGAGGCTGCACAATCCAGTTCCACCTCCAGGCTCCACTTCGGATTCTAGTTCTCTTGGGGTTCCCACCACACCTGCCTTTACTTCCTTCATTGAAGTCTTGAAGCCTTCAGAGGAATGAACCTCTTCCAAACTCCTGCTATTGTTGATATTTTGACCTCCTCCCATGAATCATGAATATTTTTAATGGCATACAGAACGGTGAATCCATTCCAGAGGTTTATGGTATACTTTGTAGCTACAGCCCGAAAAATGTATTTCTGAAATCCTAAGACTTGAAAGTTGTAACTCCTTGGCTCCTTGGGCTGTGGGATGGGTGCTGTGTTAGCAGGCATGGAAACAACATGCATCTCCTTGTTCACTGTTATCAGAGCTCTTGGGTGACCAGGTGCACTGTCAGTGAGCAGCAATATTTTGAAAGGAGTCTTTTTTTCTGACTAGTAGTTCTCAAGAGTGGGCTTAAAATATTCAGTAAGCCATGCTGTAAACAGACATGCTGACATCCAGGCTTTGTTCTTCCAGCTATAGAGCAAGGCCGAGAAGACTGAGCCGGATTCTTAGGGGACGTTCAGAATGGTCCATATGCATCAGCTTCCACTGCAAGTCCTGGCTGCACCAGCACCTAACAAGAGAGGCAGACTGTCCTTTGAAGCTTGAAGCCAGGCGTTGACTTTGCCTCTAGCCAGGGACGTCCTAGGTGGTGCCTTCTGCCAGTAGAAGGCTATTTTATCTACGCGGAAAATCTGCTGACTAGCAAAACCACCTTCATCAATGGGCTCAGCCAGAACGCGTGGATTGCTTGCTGCAGCTCCTCCGTCAGCACCTGCTGCTTCACTTGCCCTTTCATGTTATGGAGACTAAACCTCACGAACCCACCTCTGCCAGCTTCAGGCTTTTCTTCCGTAGCTGTCTCAGCCTTCACAGAACAGAGTCCGGGCCTTGCTCTGGATTAGGCTTTGGCTTAAGGGGATGTAGTGAATGGTTTGAGATTCTATCTGGACCACAAAAACTTTCTCCACGTCAGCGATAAGGCTGTTTTTTTCTTATGACGTGTGTGTTCACTGGAGCAGCACTTTTAATTTCCGTCAGGAACTCTCCCTTCACATTCACAACTTGGCTAAGTGGCACGCAGCCCGTCTTGGCTTTCGACCTCCCGTCCTCACCAAGTGTAATCATTTCTAGCTTCTGATTTAAAGTGCGAGACAATGGCTCTTCCTTCCAGCTGAGCACTTAGAGGCCACTGTCGGCTTATCAGTTGGACTGACTTCAATACTGCTGTGTCTCGGGGAGAGGAGGGCCTGGGCAATGAGACAGGGGAACCGCCAGTTGGTGGGGCAGCCGCACGTGTATCGATTAGCTTCCTCCCATACGGGGGCAGTTCACGGTGCTCTGAAACAATCACAACCGTGAGACCAACGGTCGCTGATCACAGGTTGCCGTAACACGAGCATTGTGAAAAAGTCCGAAATATTGTGAGAATTACCCACATGTGACGTGGAGACACGGAGTGAGCTCATAATACCAAAACGTGACCCAGAGCCACCAAAGTGAGCTCATGGCGCTGGAAAATGGCACTGACAGCCTTGCTCAGCACAGGGATGCCACAAACACAAAGTAATTGTGATGCTCAATAACACGAACCAGGGTGAAGCCGGCGCCCTCATTCCCCTGCTGCCCTGACCAGGCCGTGTGTGCTCAGGAAATGAGAAATCCTGTTAGACAGCTGCCGGAGTTCCCCTTGGGATCATTTGGGAACAGGAGCATCTCATGCTATCCATAGGAAAGAAGGACAAGGACAACTGAGGGGCTGCCCAGGAAGCTCACAGGAGTCGTGGCCCTGCCACATGTGATCCCAGATGGGCCGAGGGACAAGGAGGCCCGGCGGGGAGAACCACCCATGTCACCTCTACCAGCCACACCTGGGCCATCCTCAGCCTCTCCTGATGAGCCCATCCTGGGTGGCACCTCTTTCCAGGCCAGCACGGCACGTGTGTCATTCGACTCAGAACCCTGAATGACACAGAGGCCAGCCCCATCCCAGATGAAAACCAAGGTTGGGGAAGGATGTGTACACGCTGCCACTCTGGGGTGCCACTGTCCTCGCAGCGGGCAGGGGAGGAGAATGTGTTCCCGACACTGCCTCCCAGCACTCGCTACGGGAGGGGGAAACCCGCTGGGAGGAGGCACTGCCAGGGTCTCTCTGCTCTTGAACAACTCCACTCCCCGAGTGGGGCAGGCCCCGGAGCCTGAGGCTGTGTCTCCCTCCCACGCTCCTTGGTGAGGGTTTGGCTGACGGCAGCAGACCCTCCAAGGGCCCTGATGTGATGAAACACGGCTCCCAGTATTTGGAGTGGGGTTTTAAGAGAATTCTGAATTACAACAATGGAAATGGGGCCACTCTTGCCCCCTAAAAAACTGTGCAAGATCCTCAGAGTCCATTTGGAATGGAGGGCTCGTAAATAATCAGTGAGGCCCATCAGCATCTCTCCTTGAGTGAATGCATTCCCCTGGCTCCCGGCCTGCTCAGCTATTTCTATTGTTCAAAGCTGCCTGTGTCGGGGTTGGTGGAGCTTTGGGAGACAAACTGCCACACCCATTTCTACCCTCGGGCACATGCGCTAGGACGGAGGGGGCAGGAACATGGGGGAAAGGGCCACCCAGATGAATCTGCAGGGTGTCAGGTGAGTGTGAACACAGTGACTCGGAAGTTGGAGCTGGGCACACTCTGACGGGCTCCGCGGTGGCTGCATCTCCCCCGGGCTCTCTGGAGAGGCAAGTTCCCACCAGCCATGCCCAGACCTGCTGCAGCAGGAGCCTATGGGTGGGGCCGGTGGACCGAGGTTGAGGCAGCTTCCGGGTGGCTCCTGTGGCTCAGGTCTGGCAGCTACCTGCGGGAGGGGAGGCTCCGGCTGCCCTGGACAGAGCCGTGCAGGAGGAAGCACTGGGGTAAACCCAGGTGGGCGGACCTGGCTGCAAGGACAAGTGTGGGGGGAAGGGACGGTGAGGGATGGAAGGTGCTGAGAGGGGGAGAGAGGGAGAGCGTGTGAGCTGACGGCTCTGCCGGCCACGCAGGGGAGCCTGGGATCACGTGATTCGAGGACGCTCCCTCTCTTCCTGTGTGCACAAGGATCGTGTGAGGAGCACCAGTCACCTTACAAGATTAAATGTGCAGCCACCACTCCACCCTGCCAGACACAGTAAGGGCACTGGGAAGTATCACACAGGCAGGTGAGCAAAGGCAGGCATGAAGGCCGCCGCACAGCTCTGACATCCGCCCAGGCCAGTGCCCCGTGGCATGGTTTAGGTGCACAGGAAACACAGGACCTGGGGCGACCAACACCTGCAGGCAAGTCTGGAAGAATCAGTCATGTGTCTTCCAAACATCGGAGGGGGTGAATGCCATCAGATGAGAACAAGGGATGCACAGCACAGGCCAAGCATGCCTCACAGACACGCGTGGGTTGGCTCCTGCGCTTCTGCAAGAACGTCTTTTCCTAGTGCTGCTGGCTATTTTAAATACAGAGAGCAACGCTCTGGGAGACGCCCCTCACTCAGTGACGCAGGAAGGAGCTGCTCACTTACTCGGCCATGACTCGCCGCACGTTGCTGGCGTACAGCGCGGGGTTCCTCTTCTCCTCCTCGGAAGGGCTGTACACAGGAAGGAACTGAGCACACAGAGAAGCTGCGTTACTTCCACAGTATCACGAGACACTGACCTCAGCAACACCACAATGACAATCGGGAGTCTGACAAAATTAAGATCTGTCAAAGCAATGACCATTAGAACCATCTTCAAAGCTGTCATGTGCACACATGTGTATGCACACTCACCCCAAAAATGAGGTTTGAACTGCACGTGTGCACCTGAACACAGCCTATGATGCGTGAGCTGCACATGTGTACAGATGAACGCTCACCCCATGATGTGTGAGCTGCACACGTGTGCACCTGAACACTCACCCCCATGATGCGTAAGCTGCACACGTGCACCTGAACACTCACCCCATGATGCGTGAGCCACACACATGTGCACCTGAACACTCACCCATGATGTGTGAGCCGCACACGTGTGCACCTGAACACTCACCCCCATGATGTGTGAGCTGCACACGTGTGCATCTGAACACTCACCCCCATGATGTGTGAGCCACACATGTCTGCACCTAAACACACCCCATGATGCGTGAGCCGCACAAATGTGCACCTGAACACTCACCCAGTGATGCGTGAGCCGCACACATGTGCACCTGAACACTCACCCAGTGATACGTGAGCCACACACGTGCACCTGAACACTCACCCCATGATGCGTGAACCGCACACGTGTGCACCTGAACACTCACCCATGATATGTGAGCCGCACACGTGTGCACCTCAACACTCACCCATGATGCGTGAGCCGCACACATGTGCATCTGAACACTCACCCCCATGATGCGTGAGCCACACACGTCTGCACCTAAACACACCCCATGATGCGTGAGCTGCACAAATGTGCACCTGAACACACCCAATGATGCGTGAGCTGCACACGTGTGCACCTGAACACTCACCCCATGATGCGTGAGCCACACACGTGTGCACCTGCTCACCCCATGATGCATGAACTGCACATGTGTGCACCTGAACACTCACCCCATGATGCGTGAACCGCACAAGTGTGCACCTGAACACTCACCCCATGATGTGTGAACTGCACACGTGTGCACCTGAACACTCACTCCACGATGCATACTGCACGTGTGCACCTGAACATTCACACCGCCAGTGACCCTTAGGAGCGCCTGCTGCCCACACTGGACAAACTGTTTTATGAAATATTTAAGTTGCATGTGACTCATCTTTCAACACCCTGCTCCCTAACCTCACAGAGGGGCTTATGCCCATTTCTCACAGTTCCGGTTTTGTGGTGGGGACAGCACAGCGCCTCATTCCTAAATTTGGAATAGACTACTGGCAGCTTTGCCACCTCCTGCACTTTGAAATTAAAAGAAATTGTCCAATGAACTTCGTGCCTGAATGGCACTTCCACGGCATTTTAAATGACCACGGCACACAGTGCGCACCACACCATCCCGGATGTCCTTTTCCCTAACACGGAAGATTTGAGAAGACAGGAGCACCCTGAAACCCAGGTTCTCACTGCTGTCTCTCAAAACTCCGTACACAGCCGTGGCTCCACACAGCAACAACAGCATCTTGAGTGAACAACACGAGCAAGGGCAGAGCCATTCTGCAAAGCCATTCAGTTTCTTTCCAACTCCTAAAATTAGAAACCAGCCTGTAACACAGCCGTTAGGGTGCCCTCGGGAACTCACAGTCTGTGTTTTGGCCTTGAGGCCTGGCCTGCACCCTCCTGGCCACCATCCATCCAGCCACATAAACCTGTGGCCATGGGGGCTGCTGCCCGAAGGCCCGGGCCAAGCCCCTTCAGCCTCGTCCTCCGTAATGAGAGCGGCTTGTCCTCTACGGAAGTGAGGAGCTGGGCTGAAAGCCATGCTCATCTGTATATTTTGTAGCATTCTGCAATATTAATTGGAAGGCAGCAAATTGTTTTGTTAAATATTTAAGTTGCATGTGACTCATCTTTCATTTCCAGATTCAAGAAGCACAGATTAATTCCCCTTTTAAACAAAAAAAGAACTACTCCTCATCGGCTTAGATACAATTTTGCAGGCTAGAGGTCATAACTCTTAGAGACCTGGGACAGGCTGAGAAGGGGGATCTTTGACCATGTGCTATGACAAACTCAGCAGTATTAAGTATGTACAGTAAAACTGAAAGCGAAAAAGATCATTCGTTGCATGTGGACTGGCTTCATATGCCCTTAAGCCACAATACCCATCATAAGGAATGGTAGATTTAAAAAATCCTATCTAGCTGGATGCAGTAGTTCACGCCAGGGATCACAGCACTTTGGAGGGCCGAGGAACGAGGATCGCTTGAGCCCTGGAGTTTGAGACCAACCCTGGGCAACAAAGTGAGACCCGTCTCTACAAAAGCAAGCAAACAAACAAAAAACAGAACAAAACAAAAAAATTAGCTGGGCACGGTGGCATGTGCCTATGGTCCAATTACATGGGAGGCTGAGGCAGGGAGATCACTTGAGCCCAGGAGGTTGAGGCTGCAGTGAGCCCATCAGTACACATCAGCCTGGACGACAGAGCAAGACAAACACACACACACACACACACCCCAAAATAAAAAACAAAAACCCAAATCTTATCCAAGCGGTTACTTTACATCAATGTAAAGTAACCAGAGGCTCCTCCTGAGACATGGAAGACAGGAAGCAAGACAGATGACATGTCACATTTCCAAGGCTTATGGGGGCATCCTGGGGAAACCCTGCATCTGCCCCGTGGAACGCTGTATCCATACGAACCTCGATTTCCACTTGATTGTGAAACTGACACAGCGTGAGCCACAGGATTTCCAACCTTAAAAACAGATTGAGCAATGTTGAGCAGACTTACAGCACAGGTTAAGAAGTACATTACTTCCAATTCTGGAGCAAAACCTCCAGACGCGTCACCTCTAGAAGGCGCTGCCGGGCAGTGAAGGCTCCCGTGGCGGGGGTGCTGTGCCTGCCCAGCCCGAGCCCCAGTGTGAGAGGCAGGGCCATGGGTGGAAACGCTGCTCTTCTGATTCACCAGCTGCTTGTGTCTTCCGTGTGTCTAGCAAGACGTCATCTCCTGTGTGTTCTCCAGCTCAGGAGACCTTGTGCGGCCCACCCCGTCCCTCCTTGCCATCCCCAGGCAGCACAGGCCCTAAGTCATGCCACCCCTCCAGCCTGGCTCCAGAGTTCCCAACCTCAGAACCGGGTCGCCCTGCCTTTGCTGTAGGAGCTGGAGCAGGAGACGTCCAGAGTTGCATCCGAGGGCCACACTGACGCCCCGACAGACAGCCCACCTCCTCTCGGCCCCAACCCTGTTTCTGCCCTGTCATGCCCGCCCTAGCCCTAGGCCCCAGGGACCCAGAGCCCCCATTCCCGCAGAGCCCCTTCCCAGCTCTGCTCCCAGCTGGGAGCCTCCACACACCAGCCTGGGAAGCGCTGACTCCAACGCCTTCACCTGAACACACCGGTGGACCCACGTCCTCCCCAACACCTGGGGTGGACCTGCTCCCTCGTGGACTTCCCCTCTCCCTCTGCCCTCCCCTGATGAGCCTGTGACCCCAGGCTGCTTCTCTGTGGCTCCTTCCTGTTTCCATGGGGTTGTTAATCATTGCATAACTGATCTTCCGTGTCTGTGCCAGGGGGGACAGGGACACTGACTGCAGCGGGGGCTGGCCTCCCACCCGCACTACTCAGTCCCTCCACCTGTGCAGATGGGGTCCCCCCAGACAGCCCTAAATCTCCACTTTCCTTACCAGGGGTCACCAGGTGGACGACGGTAATCACTGAGCTGGCAAAGTGGGGAGTGGAACGGAAGACCCGCAGTTCCCTTCCTAATGCTACTGCTGAAGATGTGAAACTTAAGGCCCCCGAACTCAGGAGTGTCAGGACTGGGCCACATCTCACAATGGGCTGAACCTAACGGCTGTCCCACACAGGTTTGACAACTGCAGAAGTGACCAGTGTGCACGGTGGACCCCACGCAGCCCCCATGCACACACAGAGTAACAGGACGAACAAGACAACACAGTGTCTAACTCACGCTCCAGGTCCTTGCCACGTCCATGTGATGGTGTCCTGGGGAGGAAGGGCAGAGCCAGTCAGCACAGAGCCTGCAGCCAGCACCTGTGCCTATGCCTGCCGGCCTCCCCGCCCCACCCACCCCAGAGAGCCGCTGTAGCCAGGAAGAAGGGAGGAGAGTGCTAGAACTCCAGTTTCCCAGACCCCCTGAGTACCCAGGACCTGGACTAGCCCCCGCTAGGTCCTGAGGGCCCCTAATGATACAGGCCCCAGACCCACCCCCCTCCAGGTCCTCAGAGCCCCTGAGAATCCAAGACCCAGAACAGCCCCTGCCAGGTCCTCAGAGCCTCTAAGGACCCAGAGAACCACCTCCTTACAGGCCCCCCAGAGATCCCCCAAGATCCCCAGAGCCCCCGAGGACCCAGAGCCACCTCTTCAGAGGCTCCCAGAGCCCCCTGGACCTGGGAGAAAGGTCCTCCCTCCCCCCATGCTCTCCCCTCTCCTCACAGGCCTGGGGACACTGATTCCAGCGTGCGCCTGGAAGCCTGGCCCCTCCCACCCCCTGCTCCCTCCAGACGCTCTGCATGATCCCCTGACCACTGTGCACGTGCAGGCTGCCCCTGGGTGCTTTGGAAGCCCCATCTTCAGCCTCAGTGCCGCCAGGAGGAGGCCACACAGCAGGGCCCTGATGGCAGAGGCCCAGACACCCCCATCCCGGGGTAGACACTGCTCCCCTGACAACCAAGCTCAGTGCTTCTGGGAGCATCTAGTAACAGTGTTGCTTTAAACACATTGATGAAACAGTCTTAAAAAGTGAACAATCTAGATTTCTGCACACAGATCAGAGTCTGTTATCCTCGGGTTGAATTTTTTGCTCGCAGGAGCTGCATCAAGGTATGGTTTCTGCAGCGGAGACAGGAAGGGGGCCTTGGCCAGAAACCTGGCTGACAAACGCAAGCTTCAGTAAGAAGGACAAAGCTGTCGGTCCTGTGGCTGCCGGCCCTGACTCCATTTTACTACCGACCATCAGCCCTCAGGGCAGAGTGAAACCCGCAGGCATCGCCAGGACAGGCCCTGGGGCAGAGGGGCTGGAGCCTGGCACCCACAGGTCACCTGTGTTTCTGCCCCACTGTGTCTGGACCTACGAGGTTTTTTTCAGTGAACTTTCCTTTGCCGTCACAAAGAGGAACTGCTACAGACGGGAAGCCCCTGTGACGGGCAGGCCCTCCGCCAGGAACCTGCAGTGAGCCCAGCACCGCGGGCTGTGGGGAACTCCGGTCCTCCTGGGCCGTTTTTATGCTCCAGGAGCCCATGAAGGAGCGAGGATGTGTGGGAGCGACGGCGGCGAAGGGGAGACACAGCTGGCACCAAATGAACGCCCTGAGCTCAGTGGCAGGCTTGCGAGGCAAGGCCGCCAAAGTGGGGAGGGAGATGGAACCGGAAGTTTTCTGAGAATCTGAGAGCACCTGGAGGAAGGTGCGGCTGCCTTACAGGTATGGAAACAGAGGCAGGATGTGGGCAGGGCAGGGGCTGGGGCGGGGCTGGGGCGGGGCCGGGCCTGGGGCCGCGGTGGGG